TATTAGGATTTCATATGCAACACTAACGAGTAACCTACGACCCGTGGCACATATGCATATCACCAAAAAATGTCATCCTTGTGGATCCTCATAAGCTGAAACATCAAAAAAAGAGAGGATCCTGATTGTCTTTATTAGGATTTCACATGCACCACTAAAACAACGATGAACTGGTCATCCAGAAGAACTCATAATGTCATATGTTTCATCATTGACCTCACAAACCCATAAAAAAAAAGATATATAAAAGCCACCAAAACATATTAATATCATAAATTTGAAAGTTACAATGGAACTAATGAAGTGAGAAGGGTACATAAAGTATACAAAATAAATAAGATTGGGTTAATCAGCTGTCGCATATAGCATTTGTGATATGCTCTCTCAAAACAACCATCTCTGTTGCACCTTCGCCTTCCTGGGTATCAAATTCATGTGACTCCATAACATCCTCTGGAATAGGCTGCCCAACCTAGAATTCGAATGCTTCGGGCGGGATATGCAGGTCGTCAGTGTCAGCCATATAAAAGTCTATATCAGACCGAGAGGGATGTCGCTTGATGAAATTATGGAACGCCATCATGGCCACCACAATATGTACCTGTTTAAGAAATGGGTACGTTGACATATCACGTAAGATAACCCATTTTTTATTTCAAACCCCAAATGTTCTTTCGATCACCCTGTATAGGGGAGAGTGACATTTGTTGAACATTTCTTTTCTACCACGGACAACGCCACTTGATATCTCAAAATCAGGGATGTGGTATTTGTTGTCTATAAATGGTTTTAAATACACTCTCTGTAAGGGACATCCGACATTCACCAAATAATATTTACCTGTCACTAAATACATTATTATTAATTGTTGATAAGAAAAAACTAATAGGTTAAAAAAAGTAAGCTAACCTGGAGGCGGGTGAGGGAAGCGTTGTTGCTATTCTTTGTTGCATAGGCAAAAAGATGACTATCATTGGCACTCTCTTCTAATATGGTCAGCACAAATGTGAAACACATGTTGGTCATATATGACCATCACATTTTGGTTAGGTGAACCACACCGACCAATGTAGGCCACCTTTTCATGGCTTGGTAGTCAGACATCCACGTGTGTACCGTCAATTGCCTCAATGCAGCTCTGTTTAGAAGTATTAGAGATGACAATCCCAACATAATATGAACTCTGAAGTAAACATAATGCCCTATTTAACTCACCTTAAAAAATGACATGTGGTCATTAACAATTTTTTCTGGTGTTGTACAAAATATTGATTTCTGACTTAATTATGTTTGACGCTAAGCTAACTAGTGTTCTCAAAACTTCAGAGAAGTATCGACTTGTTGTCTCTGAGGAATGTTGTAATCGCTCCATCGCTTCTCTGATTGATTCGTTCTGAGATATAATGTACGACATAATTGCCAACACCTCCCTTGTAGTCGTTCTAGAAGAATCTTGTAGGTCGTGGTTGACATAGCTCGTGGAGGAGATCCAAGAAAATGGGTTCATTCGTGCAAAATATGTTGGTGAACCTTATTGGATGTCCCGCGAGCATCTATTTATCCTCAATAAAGGATGACGTCATGCGCTGTGTTCGAACAGTGATGGAGCGATAGTATTCTAACAACAATATAACAATCGCTACATCCATTATTTTGCGGCGTTTTCGCTACCGATCTAGCATGAATAAATGATTTTTTATGATAAAATGCTATGAATGAACTGCTCCTTAAAATAAAAGAGAAAAAACCGTGCAAATATAAAGAAAAAACAAACAATTTCCATAACATGTGTTATTTTAACGACAAAAACTTTCACATATCATTGTCTTGAAAATACTTAAAAAGCAAACATATCCACTACAATCCACAAATCCAAGAGGCGAAAAATAGTAAAGACACATTTGTTGATCGAGAGACGTAAATATTCGACATGCAGCTTGGGCTACAACCTCTTGAATATATGCCTGTGTGTCGGATCCTCGAGCACTTTAACTCATTTTAAATAGAAGGTTGGATCAACCACAATTCCTAAAATTCCATCCAAAACCATCATGAAATCATTGATAGTGGTGTCAGCTATAACATCAGGTTATAGAGCTGTAAATACTTGTATCAGTCTATTTATTGAGCTCTTCACGAAAACATCTTTATTCCTTGTCCTTTTTCCCATCATACGCCCCTTTGATTGGCACGTGGACTCGAGCTCCCTTGAGTTTATGCTAGGCCCTTCATCAGAACCTGTAACCTGATTGGGTGGCAAGTCAACTAAGATGCCTGCAGACCCCTGCTCCCTTGGGTTGAACGCATGCTGACCCATCGCAAAAACCCTATTGAATATTACGTCAAATCTCTGTTCTTAGTTCGGGCCAATTCTGTGCACCTTAAATTTTTTTGCAGTTGGTACTTCCTAAAACGTGAAGGGGGGTGCAGGTGGGGAAGGATGACATATTAGACAAAATATAATTAAAAATGATAATTAACTTAAGAGTTCACAGGGGTACAAATATTACCTTTAACTTCTCAGTCCACCATTCCTCTGAATCATTCACTGTACACTTGATAGGATCTCATCCCAATCCCGTGGATTCCCATTTCAGAACCTTGCACAACTTTCAGTCTTTCTTTAGTTGATCTCACTTGTTCTTGAATTTTAACCGATTGTACTCACGACTTGTCAATTCTTTAAATTTCATTGAAATATTTTGCCACTCTTATTTGTTAAAGTGAGTGGTGGGTCTATTTCCAAGTTCGATCTCCTTAATATAGAGATTGCATAAAATGTTTGTCACGTCCTTGTCCCACATTGTTGAGGTATCCACTTCTTTGTTCTTAGCTATAATGGGACTAATAAAAGTTATGGGTGCATAAGTACACTGGTATTGATAATAAAATAAAGCACCAATAAAAACAATAACATAACATAATAAAGAAACACATCTGAAACATAAAACACAAGCCACCATAAACACAACACACCTAATCGAAAGGTATGTAGAGCACACCTAATCCACCATAAACAACACTCACAGGCACCACTGTCATGTGCACACCTCACCTAAACCACCAACCCACACACCTAAAGTCACCACAAGCACACCCAAGCCACCATAAAAAGCACTCACATGCACCACAATCACATGCACACCTCACCTCAATCACCAACCCACACACCCAAGCCACCATAAACACCAATCTCATGCACCACTGTCACATGCACACCTCACCTAAACCACCAACCCACACACCTAAAACCACCACAAGAATACTCAAGCTCCCATAAAACACCACTGACATGCACCACTGTCACATGCACACATCATTTAAACCGCCAACCCACACACCCACAACCACCTAACAAACACACAAGCCACCAAGAACACCACTCACAGGCACCACTGTCATGTACACACCTCACCTAAACCACCAACCCACACACTCAAAACCACCACAAGCACACCCAAGCCACCATAAACACCACTCACAATGTTGCGGAAATGATTGGACATTACAATCTTCTGATGCATATAACAATCAAGTGCAATGCCAAAAAAAACATCATTAACAACGAAGACACTCAGGAGGTGAAACTTCAGCAAGATAATCAAATTTTTAAGATTTTCAAGGAGCATACAAGCAAGACATCCAAGTTGGATGATCTTGGTTTTTTATGAGAATTGTCAAAAGGTTTTGTAAGAAAAGAGATAAACAATTACAACATAACACGCTGACTGTTGAATTGAAACCAATAGCTCCTACGAATAAAGTTATTTCACAAAGTTTTCCTCACAGGCATGAGCTTTAATTGTTAAGCATGCAAGTGCATAAGGATTATATGGCGCGCAGGTGAGCTTTCCAAAGCCTCGCATCACGCATGTGAACACATGAAAACTATTAGCATTTAATCGATCAAATATATAAAGCCTCTGTCACCAAAAGCCACCGCAAGCACACCCAAGCTACCATAAACAACACTCACAGACACCACTGTTATGCGCACACCTAACCTAAGCCACCAACCCACACACCCAAAGCCGCCACAAGCACACCCAAGCCAATACACCCAGGCCACCACACGCAAGCCAGTCGAAGCCAACACACCCATGCCACCACACACAAGCTAGTTGAAACAAATGCCAATCAAAATTAACCAGAAAAAATCCTCCATTCTCATCCCTCCAAAATGACCAAACCATTCCAATCACAAAAAAGAATGCCAATCACAGAAATGAATGACAACTGAAAAAAGCCCCCATCATCATTTCTCCAAAAATCCTCCATTCTCATTTCTCCAAAATGCCACAGATATGCCAATCACAAAACTTACCAAACTCAAAACTAATGAAAATTTTAAAAACGAATGTCATTCTTAGAAATTTTAGCAACCACGAACGTCAAAAAACAAACATAAAAAAATGAAAACCATCTCATACGAACATCCTCATTTCTCCAAAATGGAAAATTCAGACCTGCATTCGAACATAAAAATATGAAAACCATCTCAAACGATGCTCCATAGGACCCTCAAACGAATGCAAAGCCTGCACAACATCTTACTTCGCAGGAAAACACTTCATCGTAAATCATAAGAGATATTCACATGCACTGCTCCAAAGACCCTCAACTCATTGCTCCAATGTTACAGATTACAACAAAATAAAATTGCCAAATACTTATAGAGCACAACGATGTTGGATTGCAGAGGAAAGAACGAGAAGACCAATCAAAACCTAGGGCAAGAGACGCAGGGGAGAGGGCAACGGGGAGAGGGAAGATGATCGAAACCTAGGGCACGTGATGTAAGGGAGAGGTCGAGTGCCGGGGGGGTATGTAAGTAAAAAATAGATCGAAACACTGGGTCTCAGGAATGAGGCCGTGGGGCACTTCTATGTATAAGAGGAACATTGTGTTTGTTCAAACACAAGAAATAAATGCCCTCTTGGGTTTTGAAAAAGTAGAAGCTATGGATAAGCCACCTTAGGCGCACTTGTGCGCAATATAAGATATATTTGGCCAAGGAAGACTAATATCATGGCGGAAAGCCAAGGACGATGATACAAGTGGCTGAAGGGGAGGAAACTGCCTTCTCTTCGCTTCCTCTCTTCCCCTGCATGCTCTGGTCGTTTCCCTTCTTCGATCTACAGATCTTACGTCCTCTCTCTCTCTCCTTTTGCTCTCAAGTGGTCACGACGTGAAGAAGCTCACTCACGAGCAATCGGAAATGCCCTCCCAGAAGCAAGCCACCCTGTCTTCTTCCTCGCCCTCTGCCGGCTCTGAAAACTCTTCGCCGGTTGCATCCGCCGCCGCCGACCCTCCCGACGAGAATCCCAACTCAGCCGCTGGTGACGAGGCCAATTCGCCTTCCCATTCGACTCCTCCCCAAGAACAAGACGGTGCTGCCCCAGCTCCCTTCTGGCTTATTCTCTAATGTTTAACCTGCTTTTCTTTGCTCTCGATCTCATCCTTCGATGCTGTGTTCGCGAGCGTAAGTACAGATTCGGACGGTGAAGGTGGCAGCAGCAGCACTTCCTCGCAGAGCTCCGACGAGCAGGATGAGTATGTCCCTTCTCTCTACCCTTGTCTTTTTCGTTTTACTATCCAAATTATTATCGAATGCTTTCGTGGTCCGATTTTGTGTATATATTAGCACGGCGCAGATTTAGCTTCTTTGTTTGGGTCTGAGATTGACTTTAATATTGATGTCTTCTCATGGTTTCCTGTTTACGCTTTGACTTAATTTGTAGTAATTTGGTATTTGGATAGTATAGGTAGCCATGAGCGGTGGCAAAGTGAGATTTGTGCTTATAGTGAATGAGACTAAAACCACTCAGCTTCCGAAACTGGAACGAGGCCTGCCAGTTTACTGCTGTTTTTGGAAGCGCCTTGAGGCTTTTTGTCTCTCCTGAATTCTCGCCAGATCATGTAATCGTGGAATAGATTCTTTCATGGATCCGATATGTTGTTCGAGGTGAATGTTGATGCTTGATGCCTTCTAGTTTTTTTTTTTCTGTTTATTAGAACTATAATGTTGCTATATTAATATTTTCACAGATGCTAACTATATATTAGAATCTATATTATTTGTGTAATATATTCTCATTATGGAGGATATATTGTATTTGCCTTATTGTTCACTTTTCTTGCTTTTATATAGGCATCCTTCTACTAGCATCAGGAAGAATAAGCAAATATGTAGATTTTTATGATTTATGTTATCTTGTTTATATTTTATTTGTATTAATCTTGGATTTGGTCTGTAGAGGTGGGCATGAACAATTGCTGAGGCAATTTTTTCTTTCAAGTGAAGTGGATTAAAGCAAACTCATTGAATTTAAATTTGTCTGTGGGTGCCATTTGGACCTTGCTGAAAAGATTGACCACAAAAATGAGAGAGATAAAGAAAAATAGTCAGGAGAGAAGCTTAGTGTTTTCTTATTTAAAATAAAAAAGAGAATTCCAGACAGTAGGTGGCGTCATTTGATTTGTCTTCGGCCCTTATTTATAGGTGGAGGTTGAGGCATAGCTTTATAGGAATGTTACACAAAAAAAAATGCATAGATTATATAGTATAACCCAATGAATGTTTGGCACAAAATAAAGATGTGTTATCCATGACTCTTAACTAGATCGAGCATGCATCAAAACTTTACAAATGTGGGGTGAGCTTGTTTGAGGTTGCTAGCCTACTTTTTCTGGGTGTCAAATAATGACAAGTTGTAGTGCAATGAGTATTAGATGAGTCCGCACAGTTCCCTCTGAGGTTGAGTTGGTTGGCGAGTGGTCTCGATGACTTCTTGCTGGTTCAATTATGGTTGCTACTTTTTAGTTTCGAGACCAAAGAGTCCATAACTCTAGGCAAGTCAATTTTAACAAGTGTATTTTGTGCTCCTCGTAGTCCTACAGTTTGACTCAAACTCGACTTGAGTGGTTTTAGTTGTACATTTAGTTATCTAAATTTCTTATTTTTTGAGTTATTTTTCAAGAGATAAGATATTTTTTGAATGCCATTATGGTTAGTGCCAACATCATTCAAGGCTATTTTGAGTTGACTTGACTTCTATGTACACATCGGAATCTTAATTGTTCATAAATATTGATCAAATGCTTTCATTTTTAGATTTTCATTTATATCTTTCTCGTTTGAGCTTCATCTCTACTAATCGTCTGCCTAAGATGGTGAAAATCGATTAACAATTAGTATCGAGCATCTTCAAAAGAGTGCCTTAATCTCTTTTATAATGAAGAAATGAAGGAGAGTGTAGGCTAGAGATAAGGTGGCTTGTATGGAAGTGAATTTGAATTGATCCCTCTTGGGGATATGAAGTTGGAACTTAGTGAACCAAGCATGATATTATTCTTGATGGGGATATAGTCAACTAGGGGTCACTGGCTGAGGTGATTAGTTTATGCTACTATACTTACCACTTGTGTTTGTTGAAACAAAATCGAAGGAGGGCTGACTTCATGTAGTCATTGAATGTGAGCAAAGCGAATTACTACCTTCATTATCAAGTTTGAGAATGTGTTATTGTGATTTAGTCTTAGATTTTTGACAGGTCTTCACTATAATATAGTCATGAGGTGAAGTGGGATTTAGTTGTGGAAGGTTTTTCTCTTGAGAGCCCTACGTGGGTGGACACACTACAGGCCTGAGAGTTGCACCTTCTCCTCGTACTTTTATTAAGTGGTCCATCAGTCTTTATCTTCACGACATTGTGCTTGCTAGCAATGTTGAAAGTATTTTGGTCCTTGACTAGGAGATTGACATTGTTAACTTGTCGCCATTGGATCCTAATGCAAAGAGGTCTTGCAACGCTGTTAGAGAATCTGCCGAAGTCACTGGTGAGGGCACGAAGGAAAAATGAGGGAACTACTAACATTTGTATGTAGCTCAAGGAGACACGACTTGGTTCCTATTTTACGTAGAGAGTATACCTCCACAATCTCGCGCTTGTACTATTATTTTGTAGAAGCTCATGGCTATTAGGGATTTTGGGAAGAGTCGGGTGACACCCTTGAAGAGTAACTTGATTTGCTTGAGTATCAATTTTCTTTGATGTCCTAGAAGGTTGACAGTGAGCTTCGTTGGGGCATCCAAGAGCGGAGGGCTGAAGTTGTTGCCATGTGTAGGTATATGTAGTCATCTCGATCCAACTATTTTCTATTTTGGGGAAGTTTGTTTTTTAGATGTTGAACCATTTTAGCTCTATTCCTCATGAAATTAACCCCAATCACGTTTTTGGCTTTTATTTTTTTCTTTCTTTGAGGCTCCTTTTTTGAGAAGTTAGAGACGGTTGAATACAAGTTTCTCAAAGGACTCTTTAGCATTTAATTTATCTTTTTTCTTTTCATTGAAAATCTCTGCAATGCTGTATGAAACATATTTGCCATGCCATGCACTTATGAGATGATGAAATATATTATTACTTTTTCTTTTGAATATAATGAGTTTTGGATGGATCATACTTTGTCGTTATCAGCGTATTTTTCATGTGGTACTCACTTTTTTGTGGATTTAACTTGTAATCGGCTGTGTAAAGTTGTCTTGTTATCATCTTTGTAAGCTTACTCTGTAATCGGTTGTTAAGCTACTATGTAAGTTGCCTTGTTATCATCTTTGTAAGCTTTCTTTGTAATCGGTTGTAAGGCTTACCTTGTAATTGCCTTTGTAAGCTTACTTTGTAATTGCCTGTGTAAGCTTTCTTTATAGTTGTCTTAATGGTTGCCTTTGTAAGCTTGCCTTGTAATCTTGTTTCTTAAGATTTACTTTACGATCACCTCTGTGGAAATTTACTTTGTAATTGTATGTATAAGGTTACCTTGTAATTACCTTAATCTGCTTTTATTTCTTAGCTGCTTTTATGTCTCTAATCTTGTGGGAGCCTTAGGATACCTTGTAGTCGCTTTTATGTTTATGATGGCTCTCATGTCTAGGCCCATTAGAAGCACCCTAAATCTTTATGTAATGATGAGAAAAATATTTGCAAAATCTTAATAAATCTTTTGATTTGTCGCTTGAATTGTCATGAGATGGGTAATTATGAGATGCTTTTCGTTTTTCTCAATTATTTTTTATAAATTGCTTACCGATATCAAGGAGTGCTCTTTTTTGCTCTCCTGACCTTCTCTTTCCTTATTTGCAATTTCCATTGTGATGGCTGTTGCTTTTAGAAATGTGCACATGCATTTGAGGTGCAAGGGGTCTCCAACCCATCCATTCTCTCGTCACCTACTTGTGAATTTTTTAAAGATAATTTTTTGAACTCATTGCAACAAGTTCACAACTACATTTCACATGAAGGATGTGCATTTTTCATTAAAATAAAAACAAGATGGTACAAAAGAGAGTTATAAAAGCTTACACAAAAGGTGTAGTGTGGTTGGCTTCATCCTCCACCATACTCAAAAAAATGGGGTCACAAGTGTGAGCATTCCAAACAAAATGTCTATCCAAGGCAAGTCAAACACAAAAATGGACTATTTTGTTACATTATCTGTAATCAAAAACTAAAAGGACCTGTCTAAACTGAGGTAAAAAGTAGTATCCACATCATCATGAAAGTGTTGCCACCACGCTTTAGCTGTCATGCTATTTCGAAGATGGTTCATAATGTTCTTATTGTTGCCTTCAATCACTATGTCTTTAGACTCTTTCATCTATGATTGCAAAAGAGAGCCTAGAAAAGTGATCGTATCAAGCTCAACCCTCGAGCTATCCCAATGTAGAAAGCTATGCGCCACTGCTACAAAGACTCGACCGATTTCACCACGGCTACATATGAGGGCAAGTTACAAAACATATTTTATTATGATAAACATTGCTTTTAGCGAGATCAATTATGTTTTTATGTCTACTTCCCTTCTGTGGTGAAGTTAATGACATTTTCAAGTTTTTTGATATTACTCTTTGTTGACCTCGCTTTCGGTCGAGGTGCAGTTTCCCCTTCTTAGTAGCATATGATCTAGCCGTAGGACCTTTCTGTCGACTACTCCTAGAGAACTAGTGAAGGAGCCATCCCCGTTAGCAATTCTGAACTTTTCTTCGCTCAACTTGACGTTCCATATAGTAGTTTTGACCGCTATTGCTTAGCAAGTAAGACTACTCCAAAGGAACTCAGAGAGTATTCCTATAGGACTGTTGGCCTTAGGATTGACTGTACTCGTTGATTTGACACCGCCGTCCTCTGCACCGTCTCTGCCGCCGTCCTCTGCACCGGCCTGTTTGATTGAACTCATACCGGAATTTTGATAGGATTCGGACCGCGACGCGTTTTTGACTCGATCGGCGACGAGGTTGCTCGGACGACTCCGGATGACGAAACGGAACGCGCCGATGCGTCCGGAACATCGATTTTGCCTAGGAAGGACGTTAGTCTCATTGCGACGACGCGTCTTGGGGAAAATACATATTTAAATGTTAATTATATTAATAAATAATATATTATTATTATTATTATTATAATTAATAAATTATATTAAAAATCCTTAACCTAATTTCATTTTCTCCTCTCCCGTTTCTTCCTCTCGCGCTCGTGGACCTCTGCCCTAGCCATGGT